CCATTCGTCCGGGCATCGCCGGACGTCACCAGTGTTCAACGTGATGCACGCGCAGCATCGGGCTTAACATAGGTAAGATCTGTAAGAGAACGTAGCGTGTACCCCCGGACTGGTCCAAAAACCGACTGGCACCTGCGAGCGTCGGGTCCCTGTCACCGCCTCAGCGGACGACCCTTGACCCCCGGCGAATCGGGAGACCCGCAGTCACATGACGCCCCCCGGCACCCAGTCAGATACAGAGCTCGGAGGACAGCGAAGGCGAGGGTGCACACCCCGCACAATCACACCACACCTCCACCTGATTGTAAGCAATCATGCCACTACCAATATACACACTCGCAATCGTCAATGAGACCGGTGGGGACACTGAACCCGTGCAACTCGACTGGTTGCCGGCAAGCGCGACCGCTCCTCCGCGGTTCCTACGACTCTCCCTCTCCCTCTCCCTGTGGAGGATCCGGCCGAGGCGGTGGTAGCGCCGCACCGTTGCTGGACACGAACAAGTCATCTTTGTGCACATCGCGCTCATGCAATTCATGCTCACCACAACACAATGACTGAAAATTCGTACTGGCTCTCGACACTTCATCGCGATCGCTCCACAATAGCGATGGGTGCTCAGCAGGGCTTGATGGCACGGCAGGCGGATCTGAACCGCCCCCCGTGGACTCATGATTCGACACAATGTTCGTCATCGGCAGCGTGCCTCTGTCGTCCCCAAACTCCTCCCCCGCGCCGGGCATTCGGCTCCGGTCTGAGCCTTTCTGCGGGTGCCGACGCCGCAGGCACCGCATGTGCCAGGGCGTGCCGTCGACTTCAACCACCTGGTCCGACACGACCCGAGTAACCACGCCCTGGCGCGACACATCGGTACACCGCGTGGCGGGCCCCCGGCGCCGCATCCACACCGCATCGCCGACACAAAACGACGATGAGACGGATTCCTGCATCAGCGGCGGTGCGGGCTCGGCAGCGCGCTGGCCGGTCGGCAGGTCGGCACCGGGTGCGCGGAATACCTGCGCCATCGTCGCGCTCAGCGAGTTAGCACCGTCCCGCGGAGTCGCACTGAACCAATGCACCGCTAACCTGACGGAGCACCGTTGGCGGGCGACCATCACCTTTATAGTTCGGTGGTGGCGCTCCACGATTCTGCTGCCGCCGGCCTCGTGCGCCGCGCGAAACCGCAGCCGAACCCCCCACTTCGCGGCGAATGCGGCCATTCGCCGGCTCCGGAATTCGGTGTTATTGTCCAGCAGAAGCTCAGCCGGCGCGCCGCGTTCTAGGAACACTCAATGCAGATGATCCGTCACTTCTGCCCCGTCAGACCGTCGCAGTGCGCTCCAAATGCTGTACCGGGACGGCCCGCAGTCTACGATCGTGAGGTGGAGGCGGCCTTGGCAATGGGTCAAGTCGACCGCGAGTCGGGTCCATGTCGTCGGGACGCCGAGTGAGCCGGACCGCCAGCGAGTCGGCGCCGGGTAAATCGAGCGGCACACATCGCACTGGCTGACGACGGCTCGCACGTCGGCCCGTGCGACGTGTCCGTCGAGGTCCCGTCTGGCGTATTACAGGGACCGGCGAATCCACTGGTGCTCCGTCCGTTCGTATATGCTTTTAATCCGGGCACGAACGTCGCTTGCCGTGGACTCGTGAGCGGCTTCCTGGTCCATAGGGGACGCCGCCACTTCTTCCGGTCCGATAGTCGCGGAGACCGAAGCCGCATCTCGCGGGGGTGCTGTGAAACATTTTGGCGCGGCGGCTGCTGCGGCTGAAGTCGCATCTCGAGGCTCTGCTCGCAGCCAGGTCTGGGGAACTCGGGTGAGCGCGTTGGCAGAATTGTCTTATGACCACACCAGCTGGATGGTCACCGAGAGTTGGAACTCGTCGACCAACTGTCGCATGAGGCCAATCCTGCGTCTGATCAGCATCTCCCCCTGCGCCTTTGTTCTGAGAGCCTGGAGATACCGCAGGGGTTATCGGGGCAGGGCAATAGAACCCCGACTTAACTCAATATCATGTCAATGCTTACGTCAGGTGATTGGGATTCAACATGGGCTGGAACCCCTGCTCTGAACTGGGACTTCTGACGCAGGCGTCACTGAGAATCTGGCTCACCAGCAATCGATGTGACCAAGCAAACATAAGCCTGACGACTCAGAGATCACACCAGCGGAGTTTACCACGCTGCAACCAGGCGACGCGAACCTTGAAGGTTGTAATGCCCGTGCCAGAGTGGGCGTGCTGCCCGACAGCGCTATGAAGTAACGACAAGCCTGGTCAGTTATTACAAGCTGCCGCGTTCTTATCCTGGCGCTCCCTGGCTGCAAGCTTATTTCAGCGGCGACATTTCTGCAGGCCAGGCCCCACTCGCTGCTGAGCGCTGGTCAATTCCAGCAATGCAGGCTTTCTCCAGCTATGACAGTGTTTCCCGCCTTCAAAAGTTGCACTAACCTGATTTTCCGCACCATGACTCGCATTTTCAAGTTTCACTTCCGCCACTTCACACACTGTTCTTTTGGATCACATCCCCGATAGCCTTTGACTGGCCGTGCGGTGGTTGAGACGAAAGGCACGCCTAGCAAACTCCTTTAAAGTTAAATATTGGCGGCCGGCGCCGGCCACCGCAGAAAAATTTAACTGCAGACCACGCTGTTGACCACCAACCGGTTTCGCCCACCATCCACCATTCCCGGGACAAATGGTTTATCAAATTACACAAATGAACCAGTGGCCGCGGGCGACGACCGACGAGCGAGCTGTCACGAAACTTGACCTAAGCCACCGCCACGATTTGTGCCGGCGCCGACAGGGAAGGAGGGGTTAATACGCTGCCGTCGCTGGGTGGCCGACCATTGGGCTCTGACCACAGGACCAGGGGAGGATGGGTCGACCACCTGACGCTGCCGTCGCCGGCTGGCCGACCATTAAGCTCTGACCACAGAAGGACCAGGGGAGGACAGGTTAATGCGCTGCCGTCGCCGGCTGGCCCCACCATTGAGCTCGGACCACAGGCCTGGCCAGCTGGCTCGCTGGTCCTGCGGCTGCGTCGCTCTCACTCCCACCACCCGAGGCGTGTCAGCAACCTGAGACGCCTGCGCAGAGCAAAAGCTGGGCGACAGGTTTGGCCATGTCCGGCTGCTGACTCGCCGCAATACTAAAACGCCGCACTCTGAACAAATACGCGCATGTACAGACGACCAGTACCGGGCTTTGTTGAGGGACTGCGTCGCCATGGCGACAAAGCCAGTACCGCCAGACCGTGCCAATGCTGATGACTTGTTTGTCCTGAATGGAAGGGATTATGGTGCCAGCTTATGGCCTACAGCCTACAGATTGGAGGGTCAAGGAGGCCTGAACCCCGTCAGTATTCCCGGGTCGGGGTGCATTTCCGCACCCCCGTCCACGCTGCTGGACCGAAGCCGCATGGTTCACCGTCTCATAATCAAAAGGCACCTCTAACGCGCGCCGCCAGCTGTTGCTCCCACGCTCCCCCCCCCCCCCCCCCCCCCCCCACCACCACGCGGGCAGATTTTAGGCTGCACCGAAGGCGGTAATGCGAAAAATGTTCCTGCCATGCGCACCGAGACCAAAACCACTTCGCTCGTACCAGAGCACCACAGCGCCCTGCGGCATTTTGTGCGGCATATTAGTTGGCGAAAGTGGACAGTTAAACCTGCATCCACATTTTTCTGCAACATTGAAGTCATACCGGCACGGCACCCTGCATGAAAGTCTCTTCTTAACGCTCATGGTTTCAACGATCCGTATGGCGCACAGGGAGGTGAAGGGGGAGGGGAGGGGAGGGGGGAGGGGGTCGACACACTCCTACGACGCTGGCAGTACTACCACAATTATCGCTGATGATCATGATTTAAGGTCATGATTCTCGCGACAGCTCCGGCATTGCTATTTTCATACCACCGACAACAATTTGCATCCGATCTAGTCCACACAAACACTAAAACACTGCCCAGTATATTCAGTACGGCATTATTCACACCATCCTCTATCGCATTCTTTGTTGATGGCGGTGCGTCCTACAGTGAACCGTCATTACCATAGCGCCGCCTGTGGCACGTCACATTTCTCACTGCGCCGTTCTTGGCGCATCGCGTTTCTCATCACGTCATGTATTGCGCGCCAAACTTGTCGCCGCGCCTTTCTTGGTGCACCCGCGTTTGTTGCCGCACTACCCTGGGTGTGCGTCCCTAGCGGCGCGCCACCTTTTTCGCCGCGCCGTTCTTGATGCGCCGCGTTCGTAGCCGCGCCCAGACTGCCGCTGCCTTCGGCTCATCGTCGTTTGCTGTCCATGCGGCCTCTAGTGCAGCGGAGTTAAGGACATATATACCTACGCGGGACGTTAATCCGCTACCCAAGTCCACAACCCGAGAGCTCACAGGCACGTGGACGGGAGCTGGCCAGCGCTCTGGTACAGTTACACGACACTGACGGTACAGCACACTACACCTCAAACCAGACGGCGACGAGCATGCCCAGGCAGCAACCCGGCACAAATCATGCGACATGGTGAGTCTGGCCGCATGCATGCTCGCGGCCCTAAGGATGGCCTGCCCTGGTGCTCCTCGACTCGTGAATTTATCGACCTAGTACCGTTGGGAATTTCGTGCTGTCGAGGGGGAGGGAGGGGGGGAACATCAACCTTTTTATGGTTCCTGTAGAGCTTAAGCGCAACATAGGATTTCGTTTAGAGGGAGCCTATACAAAGAAGATTTTAACGTCGAAAGATCTCGCGTTCGTTTAGTATACGAAGTAAATTTTCGGCAGCACACGAAGCATACCAACAGTCACAAACTTCGTTCTGAGCCCCACAGCCAGACAGGTTTCCGAACCAATAACCGCCACCACTACAGTACAGCGCGACTGTTCACAGACATCCAGCCGCAAACAGCAATCTTGCCACACATCCACGAACCCCATCAGCAACGCCTACGGCACTCCGCATCCGTAGTGACCCAGTGACGAACACCACACAGCCCACGTCAGCGCGCGTGCGCACCCAAAGGATATTGTTTCTCCTTGGCAGGCGGCCGCTCCCGCTCCCGCTCCCAGTCGTACTCGGGTGCGTAGCGTGGCTCGTCGTAGAACTCCACCTCCTCCTCCCGCTGCCGGGGAGGAGCGGCGGCGACGTCAGCGGTGGGCGGATCGCCGACTGACCGGCCTTGGGGGCCGGGGACGGACATATACGACCACACCCACGCTGGTGGGCCGATGGCGGGGCGCGGCAGGGACCAGTGATGGTGAAACACGCCAGCGTCAGTCGCAGGACGCAAACATTTACTATCTAGCTATTCTGTCGCGTTCGGAGTTCCAGTACCCCTGCTAAATGTTGGAATGACGGATGTAGCAAGAGCTTAGCAAATGGTCCATCTGTTTTTGTCATATGTAGAACAATACAATAGTGGCGCTCCGCAACTTACCAACGGTGGAGGGAGAATGACAGGAGCATGATGAAAAATCACAACAATCCCACAAGACATTCCACACAAACATGACAATCTAAACAAATTGCGCTAATATAACCATTTCTTGCAACCAGACTTGCCAACCCCGTGAGTACACTTCTGCACGAGAACCCCGTCCACACGGGCAGTGCCGTTGTCCTGCCTGACCTCAACATAGCCAGTGAGTGTAAACTTCTATTCCAGCCTTGAGCCAACCCTGCCCAGCGGCACGGCGGTCGGCCAGCATACCACCCACGCGCCGGCAGACGGGCCACGCCGCCAGTTTCGCCACCACCACATAGCCGGCAGCGTCTCACAGCATACCGGACGAGCTCGCGGCCAAAGCATTAATCGCTGCCGATTGCAGCACCGGCTGCGACAGCGCGCGACTGGGAGGACTTTCCGCCCACAGCTGGTCGAGCTCGCGCCACGAGAGCACGGAAAACAACCGGTCGATTGCTGCGAGTCGGGGATCAGTGGTGTGCAGATGAAATTTTCCAACACCCTATGATAAATGCATTTAGAGTCCGTCTCCAAAAGAACGGGCATAGTCGGTCTATAACGATTACCGTAAAACCGCAATGTGCGATATTTTTTAATACGCGTCTTCCCAGTGGCATGTCAAGATGTGCACAATGCCGCGAAGGAAATCACCCCAAGATCGACGACCTTCTAAGCCCACCGGCATTACATGCGCCAGACCTGTTAGATCCCGCTGCGCATTCAATCCGAGAATCCCACTCATTAAACCAGCAGAGAAATTGCACTTTCCACGCCTTTCATCCCCACGAATTAAAAGCAATCATTCCTCGCACATCTGCTGACCGCTGAACACACAGGACTGTGTAGTGGGTCTCGAAGGCCCTTCCACCGCCGGGGCGACGCCCTGCTCACCCTCTGCCTCCGTTGTCCTTGACCTCGCGGAACTCATCGCCCTCGGAGCGTCCGCTTCGCTGAAACATAAGCATGGGTCAGAAGGCGGCGCGACACAGACAGGCCCTGGGCACGTTATACGAGGCTCAGGAAGCCGTGTAATGACGCAGGGACACTTCGCCACTATGGGAGTGGAATAAGAGCACATTTTGGTTATTTTACGAGTGCAACCACTAAGACCATGGGAGAGACGGTCTCACGGTAAATTGGGCGAACTACCAGGCGATGGGTTTGGATCTACAGCCTCCACATCATAAATTCAGCCCCTTCTCCATGGTGCGAAGCCGTCGCCATGCAGTGGGGAACAATGCCACTGCCGCAGCCCGCTGCTGACTGCGGCGCCCGACCGTCCACGCTGTGAACGTGAACCGAGCACGGCCGCCTGGCCACTCACCGGGCTTGTCGTCATCCTTCTTTCGCTTGGACTCGATCGGCGATCCCCTGTCGTCCAGCGACGCCTGCCGGCGGCGTATGTTCGTCATCGGCAACAGCACGCGCGCAGCAGAGGGCGATCTCCACACTGCTGCCAGCATGGCAAACCAGCAACACGCAACACGAAATGCACTGGCGGCAACACAGAGAAATAGTGACAGAGGTCAGCTGGTGCCGGATCCAATGCCTGGCACCAATGACGAGACGGAGAGCATGGCTAAAAGGCACCAGACTAAATGGACACTAGCAGAATACAAGCGTCACAGCTCGCTACGTTTAAATTAACGACCTGATTAATGTCGGGCTTGTTTAAGCGGTCAGAGGTGACTTTACCGCTTACTGCAGGCTCAGTCGACAACTGGTTACCGCACCGGGTTACAAGCCATTCGGGTCATATACTACCAAGACCTTGGAAGCTGAGTCAGCCTATCGAACACGGCCATTTCTCGGGAATGACGTCCCATGCGGAACAAGCACACGACATGCGCTTCGTCACATCCAGCGGTTTACCCTTTTCCTTTCCTTCTTGTCTTCTCGTTTGTTTCTGATTTCCCCCTCCTCCAGGCCCTTCTCCGACTTCTTCCGTTTCTTTTTCTTCTCCTCGTCCTTCTCTGGCATTTTGTCCAACCTCTGTAATAAGATATGCCGGCCATCTGACCCCATTTTCGGGCGAAAGAAAGCTTCCAAACCCAAACCAACCGACAATAACATGACTAGGCAAACCAAGAAAAGCACGCGCGTCCGGGCCAAAACGGACAACCAGACCGTCACACACGGCACAACGGAACTCTAACCGTGAACAAGCTTGGCAGCATTGCAAAGAGCGAGTCAGCCCGAGCTTTAGCGGTCTGGACACGCCAGGGTGCTGCGTTCCTCCTTTACTGGACTGCAACAGTTGTGATACAGTACCTGAGGGCGCAGCATCGACTTCGATGCGGCACACACGTACGACCCGCGCCACTGAATCAACGTCGGCGCACCGAGAGGGCGGCTTCGGCGGCCTGGACGACACTTGCCAGCGCTCCGACGCCAGCAGCCCGACACGGCGCCGCGCGCGACGGGGGTCTTCCTGCGTCCGGCGGGGCGGCTGGCGGTCGCCCCCTTCCGCTCTTGGTTACGCGTCACGGGTCCGAGCTCTTGCACCGTCAGAGCCGGGCTTGTCGAGACTGCGGCTCCGACGGGCGTCGACTGGCCCTCTGGCCGACGTCTGTCCCACGCGCATCCTCCTGGGCTCTTCCGGGGCTGACGGCGCCGGCGGACGGCCCGCTCCGCTGTCGGGACCGCCCGCGGCGGGCGCTGGCGCGGCCGTAGCCAGCTCGCTCGGCTGGCCGCCGCCGCCGACTCCGACCGGGCAGCGGGACTTGACCGGACGAACAAACGACACCCGCCGACGGGAGACGCGTGACGCGTCAGGGGCGCGGCGGCGGGGAGGCGCGTACGTCTCGCAGGCCTTCAACCGGCGAGAGCACCCCAGCCGGCTCAGGAGACCGCGGGAGACGGGAGATCATGCTGGCCATCGAAAGGACGAGTCGAAGAAGCAGAACTCCAGATGAAGACCGTTTTCCATTCAGACCTCAACAAGAGCAAGCCGTCTACGTCCGACGTTACCTATGTGACGGTGTAGCGTACGGCTATCAGATCTCTCCGGTAACTGCACATTTCCAGCAGCGCCGACCTTGTTTTTTCTGCTCACTTGCTTTCCATAAATCTTGTACTGCAGACCTCGTGACTTGTACTAACACTGACCTCGTTTACGGACGGGGCTCACACATCACAGCCCGATCTTTGTGCAAAGGGAGAATATTATAAGTCTCATCACAGCAGAGACATCAGGAGACGTCACGCAGCGCAACCATCACAAAACTCCTTGAAAGACGCGGTCACAGTGAGCTTCAAACCTCCTGCCTGCTCCTGGAGACCTCGACTCCGATGGGCGCCTTACGTTACGACTTCCTGCTGCAGTGCTCGCGCAGCTTCCCCGCACCCGGCGTTGACGGCGCGCTACACTCCGGGAGGCGTCTCCCCGCTCACGCTGCTCGTGTCCAACCCGCCGACCGGCGGCCGCATCCTCTTCCCTCGCGCCGACACTTAACTATGCACACTGGTGGGCTTCTCTCCGACGGGGCGACTCGCCGTCGCCGACGGCGACGCCCGCGCGGCTCGGCGCCGGCGCGCGCGCGCGACCGCCCGGCGGCGGCCGGAGGGCGGTCGGTCGGCGCTGGCGCGGCGCTCCCTCCGCGCGCCGCCGCTCAACTCACGTCAATACTAACCTTACTCTCCACTCGGCGGCGCTTGGCCTCTGGAACGGAGACAGCAGCGGGTCAGCGACGCCTGCGAACTAGGCACGGACGCTGGCACGCAGGCGGTGCCGCCAAGCGCAACAATCCGCTGGTGTCTGGGAGCCGAGAGAGCAGACCTACAGCGGACATCCTGGCGACCACCGAACGATGTTGGCCTCCATATCCAGGCACAGACAAAGCTATCCTCACCGGACGCACACACGACCTCATAATGCCAAAACCAAACGCTCGCGCCGACCGCGTCAGCACCCTGCCGCCCCCCGGTGGCCGGTCACGTCCTCGCCGCGGGCCGGCGCGCGGACTCACCTCTGTCGACGTCAGAGGCCTCGGGCAGGCTGCGCACGGCCGAGCCGGCCGGCCGGCGCGGCTTCTCGAAGTACTCGTCCTCGACGACGCGGATCTCATCGGACTCCCTCTCCACGCGGCGGGTCACCTGGTCAGCGGGTCAGCAGGTCAGCGGGTCAGCAGGTCAGCGGGCCAGCAGGTCAGAGGTCGGCAGGTCAGCGCCGTCAGTCAGCTGACACCGCGGCGCAGCACAGGCCGTCGCCAGCAGCCGTCACCAACGGCCACACTTTTACGAGCACGTGCGCGCAGCCAGCTCACTGAGCGACCCGAATACAAACACGGCGCAATGAGTTTTTACGCGACTGGAATATCGGACCGGAACCACAGAAGCACTCGAAAAACACCTGCCAAAGGACAACCCCAGCACAACGTGTACCTGACCCACGAGCCCGCAGCGCCGCGTCCCGAGCGGGCGGCGCGACCGGCTGTCCCACGCGACACCGCACACCTTTTTGGTTTCCGACTCTGGCGTGCTGTGTTTGGAGGCCTTCTTGTCGCGCCGCTCCTCACTGCTGTCGTGCTTGCGTTCCCGGGCGCCGGCGCGGTCGGAGCGCGGCGTGCCGGAGCGACTCCGGGTCCTGTGGTCACGGCGCCGGTCAGAGCAGGCAGCGAGCGTGACCTGAGGTCACCCGCCGGCCGCCGTATCTGGAGCGCCGTGTGACCCAGGGCTCGGCAAGGGCGATGTGGTACAGGCACGGTACGCGCTGAGGTCCAGGCGAAAGTCAGCCGAGGTCAGATGTGTTACCCGAGCTCGCGGCATGGGCCAGTGCCGCTAAGATCGGCAAGCAGCCGTATGTAACTGCGACCAGAGATTACGCCACGAGTTTGACGGGCCTCGAGAGTTTACACCCTCAAATCGGTCCTCCGCCTGCACTAGCCGACGCGGATCGTTCGCCTGCACACACCACACATCCCCTGCAGCCGGCGGCCGGGGGGTCGCCGCACTCACTCGTCGTCCTTGGCGCGCTCGCGCGGCCGGCCGTCCCGCTTCTCCCGCCGGTCGGCGTTATCCGGCGTCTCGCGCTGCCGCGGCGGCTCCTGCTTCACCGTCACCGTCTCGGCCGGCGGCTCGGCCGGCTCTGCCGACGGACGGGGCACGCTTAGAGGTGCCCAGCCGGAGCGCAACACGTGCAGGTGGTGCACACCAGTAAGGCAGACATTTCCAGTCACGAGGGGAACGGACCAGTCTACACCTCCCGCGCCCGAGCCACACCCCTAATTTCCCGAGAAACTTTGACGTCCGTAAGTCTATCCTGGCCGTCTACACCAGCCTTCACCTTTAACTCTGTAGAATCACACAGCATGGCCAGGCTGAGAGAGGGTCGCCCCGTGCCCGGTAGGCCGACTCTCAGTCAGGCTCCGTGCTGCTTACCGTGCTTCGCGGTCACACCGTTGGCGACGGCGGCCGCCTCCTGGTCGGCGCCAGCCTTGGTCGGTCGCGCCTCCCTGCCGGCGGTGGTGGTGGCGGTGGCGGTGGTGCCGGCGGCGGCGGCAGCGGTGGCGGTGGCGGCGGCCGGGGCGGCGGCTGCCGCGGCCGGCTTCTGTGGCGAGACACCGCAGTCAGAGAGCGGGGCGGCTGAGCTGGCCGTCGGGGGCGCCACCACAATGCCCGACTGAGCCTTGTCAGGCGACGAGATAGCGTGAACACTTGAGCCATCAGTGTCAGCGTCCGAAGCCAGTCCGAGGTCTAATTTGGAAAAGGAAGGATTTCTGGGTCCTAGATCCGACAAGATGAAACCGCTCTATCCAGACCGCGTTACCGCTGATGGATTTCGACCACCAACGACGATGAGGGGCGCGCGGCCCAACACCGCCCGGCGGACCGACCTTGCTCTTGTCGACTGTGTGGAAGTCCTTCTCGGGGATGTAGGTGTGTTTGCGGGCGCGCAGCAGGCCGGCGTAGCTGGTGGCCATGAGCGCCAGGTCCTGCCGCTTGTTCTTCTCCGCCTGAATCACCTGCGGCCAGCGGACGGGGAGCGGCTCAGCTGGGGTGTCAGCTGGGCACACGGTCAGGTAAGCCGCCCTGCTGACACAGTGCCGGTTTCAACTGCGCTTACTGGCGCACAGATTCTCGCCCGCGTCCGGACTAGCCCCAGAAAGGCCAAAACGCGGAGGACGGGCAACAAATCGCTGTTGCAGAGTTCTTAGATCTCAGCAGTCTTCATACGCTCTTCAAAAGCTCCATATATTGACTACAAACAAGCGACTATAACAAACAGAGCTGCAAGAGCAGGCGTTTCCATGGAAATGCATAAGCGACGTTTCCATTATGCAGAGTGGGGGTGACAGCCAACATGCGTGGGACATCTCGCACCACAAACCATCTCCACCCCATAATCACGTCAGCAGGAATGCTGCTGCCTACCCTGGGGCTCAGACGACTTGTATGTCACGACACTGCACGGACTCTAGCCTCCCCTATCACACTGCGACGCCCCCCCCCCCTCCCTAGCGATGACGAACCGGCGACACCACGCCAGCGCCGCGGCGAGCCCCATCCGGGCGGCGCGACGTCCGCCTCTCACTCACCGCCTCCACCTTCTTCTCGACGATGTTGGCCACGTGACTAAGCACCGGGTAGCAGGGCAGGATCTTGATGAGGATCTTGAGCGCGTTACGAATCTGCACGTACTCCTTGCTGTCCAGGCAGGTGACGATCGCCTACCAATGACCGCAGGCCGGGTCAGGGATGGGCACGTGCCGGCGGCGGCTCACTGCTGGCGTTTGGCTCTGACGTGCTGCTGTTTCTATTTAGCTGAGAACTGCGACGAAGGCTGCCTAGGAGGGCGCAGGCGTATTTGGCAATTCCCTGTTTGGCGTGCGCAGTTACATTAAGTTTGAGACAATACAATGAATGTGAAAACCATATTACGGCAGGCATAACCGGCGATAGAGTAACCAAAACAAAGGAGCGTACATGGAAGCAGCACTGGGCTTTGAAGCGGATAATCAACAGTCCATAGAGGCAGTGGATGCCAACAAAAGACGACGCATCTCGTTTGTAACGCAGGTGCTCACCAAACTCCAGCCTGCAATCTACTTGAACATCACTTGAAATTACCAGTACTCTACAAAGAAAAGTGCGCACATTCCAGTGTGGCGCCTTGTGTTGCATCTTCACCACGACGCTCCGAATCCCAACCTTGGTGATTTTATAGAACCACTTGAAGCAGACGTGGCGGTAGTTCTCGTAGTCGACGTGGTCGCTGCGCTCGTTCTGCTTGTTGGAGACGCGGAACTTGGTGACGAAGCCGGGGAAGAAGGCGCACTCGCGCTCAAACACCTCGCGGCTGCCGTGCCAGCGCATCACCGTCTCCAGCAGGGCGCACAGGAAGCGGCCGTAGCGCGACGCCTCGTTCTCCGTGCACGACGTGAACGTGTAGGTGATGTTGCAGAACAGCTGCCGGAGGCCGGGCGCCAACAGTGACGGGCGGGAATGGTGCGAGGTGATGGCCGGAGCAGGACGCAACGGGACCGGCGGTCTCGGCGAAATGGGCGATACACACCAGTGACAGCACCGCAATGCCCGCTGATACATGGCAGTTATCGTGTGACACTTGCGGACTGACACGCAGCTCGGCGTGTTTGCGCGGCTGACCCGCGTTGGGATGCTGCTCCCACGTATCAGAGAGCCGGCGACAGGCCCGCAGACAGCGCCGCCCCGACATGCGTCCCGGCGGCCGTGTCAGACAAGCGGCTGGAATCCGACCGCTTTCACTCACCGTTCCGTCCCGAGCCCGGTTCACAGTGATTCCGTAGCGATATAGACAACCGCAACGCAAAAAGCTGTACAAAAAGGTCTCGAATAGTCACAAAAATCGCATAAACTTTGGCAACCTCTGGACGCTTGGCCACCTCCATAACAGCTCCGTAACGTTATGGAGCAGGTTGGGGGTTTTCAACCCTTGACGAAGTGCGGACGGCAATATTGCAACCTTGCGTGCGTTAGGGTATGAATGCTTGCTTCTTTTCCTGAGCATTGGGACGATTTGATCTTC